TGTGGTTCCGTGGAAGAGATGAAAAACGATGAAACGGCTATTCATAGAACAGATGGGCAGCCCTAAGAATTAGTAACAGATGGGCACCATGTTCGAGAAACGGATGTTCATAGGTGCCCGTAATGGTTTCTCTCAGCGACGGAGAAGAGCAGGCTTCGAGTTTATCCGAATTTAGCTCTCGTTTCGAGAGTCGTTTAATCAACCGACTAGGTTGCCGTCGAAACGCCCGTTTTCACACGTGGACCGGCATTGTCTGCTCGAAAATTTCCCTGTGCAACGGAGACCCCGACTCCTCTTGTTCGTTCTCGAGCCGATTACCTCGGAGTAACGCCACCGTCGGATTTGAATCTTTCTCGGCTCTCGATTGTTTTTTCTTCCCTGCATCCCTGTTCTCCCAACGTTGCGTATTCTCCCCCTTCGCGCTTTCCGGCTTCTCTCGCGATTGCCTCGGGCAAGGAAGAAGGCACGTGTTGTCCCAACGAAATTGAAGTGCACCGAGCACAAGCCCTTCTCCGACGCGACGCCACTGTGCCGAGAAGGACGCTCGCACGACTGCCCGAGAACACTGGCTAAGAGAACACAGGAGTGGGATAATTTTTCCGGAATTCACCATCCCTGTTCGGTCTTTCCACCGACGGACTCGTGAAAGAAAATTGAGATCCACGTGGGAACGGCGAGCACGCGGAAAACTAACCACGGCTAATTTAATTAAAAGTTAAATTCACGAGGAGCTGTACGTCGCGCGGACTCGGACGTGGATGACAAAGTAGGTTGCGAGAGAACTGAAGTCACTTCGACGGTTGTATTCTCGCCGACTCGCTCGCTTGGAAGCAACGACTTCCACGATCTGGAGTGCCAGCCTCGATGCAGCAGCACCGTCTCTCGAACACAATCTGTCGTCAGATGCTTCGAGGTGTCCGATCGAAAAATTTGTAATTCCCTCTCGGTGTGTTTTACGATTTCGATGAAAATTTATTCCACCGCTCCGTCGTTGAAGCGCCAGTCATCGTTCTCCACCCGCAAAATCTTCAAAGCTCTGTCATCCATTACCAACCGCAAAAACGCTGAATTTCTCGCGAACAAGCTACGACGATGGGGGCGATAAAGAAGTCCCCTTAATGTCGCGATAGACGCGAATCTATCGGGGGGTGGATGTATAAGAGGGTTCGTCCAATCTGGAGAACTTTCCACGGAGCCATCGACCGACGGTTTTAGGTCGAAGATAATCGAAGCCATCTAGCCGTTACGCGACCGAAACCACGGACTCGAAGCCCTTTCTTTCTCGCCTTTCGGTCTCGACCGCGATAAATGCAGCGGGATAGAAACTCGGATGATGGGCTCGTTCATTAGTCATGATTTAACCGCGGGTCGAAGACTGCGGTTCCACCTGTGTGTGTGTGTGCGCGTGCTGCGCGAGAACGTAGAGCTGGGAGAATGAGAGAGGTAGCTGCAGGGGGGCCGTTAAAAAATAATAGCTTAGGGTCGTTGGTGGCTGTCCCGTCAGCCTTGGCACGTGCGAAACTTTAATGACTTTCGCTCGACGTAACGCCACACACACACACGTATACACACATCCTCTCCCTTTCTGTTTTGCCTCTTTTCTTTAAAGCCCTGTATGGTAAACCGAATCGTAGACTCGCGTGGACGTCCACTCGTGCGGCCAGCCGCCCGCCACCGGGGAAGATAATCCACTTCTCTCGGGGACGACGAGCTGAACGCCCGATGCCCAATATCGTGTACCAACCCTTGCTTCGCAGACGATCGGATCGGAGATAAGCGCCCGGCTTCTCTCTTTATTAATTCACCGCGCGTTCTTCTTATCTACGGTTCGCCGATACGCCGTGAAGCTCCTCGTAAATGGAAACGGTTACCCTTTCCCGTCGTCCTAGGAAAATAAGAGGAAAGCCGTTCCCCGACGTCCAGGCCGGAATCGACGTGCCCCGATAAAACCCTCCGGCAGATTTGCAGCCGGATTCGCCAACACCGAAGTCACCGCTGAAACCTGGACATCGGACAAAATTACCCGTTGGTTGTGTCGTGTCGGTACGATGTTGTCTGTCGAAACGATTAACGCTTCGATGGCCGCGACACGTACAAAGAAGTCTGTCTGGCTACGTACGGCCTTTTCCACTGTGGCAGTCACTCGACTGTTGATCCTTCTCGTTCGGCCAGCGTCTTCTCTCTCGCGTCTTTCCAGCGTTTTCGATGTTCCCGCGCTGGGGCCACCGATGGTCCTGTACCGTACAAGACGTAGAGACGTGGAACGATCTCGGAAAGTTCGATCGGCGAAGTTTGACGTCGGAGCCGTAACTTTGGACGCGTTCAATATTTCCGAATACGAGCTCTGCCCTCCCTTTCACGGCACGGCATCGCCTCGGGAAACTTATATACGTGATTTGTGGCGCTCGCCTCCCGGGGCCTGCTGGACCAGATAAATCCACTTCGGTCAATTTTTTAGCGGTCCGCGAACAATCGTACCTTCCATCCACGCCCGACGGGGCTCACCCCGATCTGGCGCACCTCCGTCCGAGATACGATGAAATATTACGCGTCGATCCTCCGACGGATCTCTCCCCCACGAGGCGATAATAGTGTTTTTCGAATACCCGCGCGTCGTTCGTTTTTACAAAGCACGCTGGAACGCTTTCAGCGACGCTCAACGAAAAGGTTCCTCGTTGTAAAGCACAATTACGCGATTGTCACGATCGATGGAATTTCAGAGCACCAGGTATCGTTTGGAAACGACGTTTCACCCGGTACACAACTGCGCGAAAACCGATACTACTACGGTGGCCTGCGTTTTGTATCGGCTTACACGTATATCAACCGACTCGACTGTCGGTCGAGACACGACGCTGACCGCAAATGTCTGGAGGAGTCGGGAGAGTACGCTCCTCGGCTCCGTTCGAGCGGAAGATACTCCGACAGTCATGGAGAAGCTTTGAAAGTTTATCACAATCTCTGTGGTAACGTTAAAACTATAGACAACCATGGGATTAAGAGTAGCCTATATTCTATTCGGCTCTCCGACATTTCACGATAGTTCCCTTGTCCGCGATTGCAATCGACCAGCTAATTCTGGAAAACGATAACCCAGCGAGCCTGGGAGTTATAAGCCTCCCATCGTTTAATTTTAAAACCCATCAACGCGACGGACCACGTTTCCTCTTTCCCAATCATTTGCGTTACTCAGCTTTTGATCCCTCGAACAGACAAAAAGAATTTCCGTTCGCAGAAACAAAACAAAAAAAAAAAAACAAATTTTTCCGAAAATACGATGCGTTCGATCGCGATGAGCAGCAGTCACTCACAGGCACACCCGTAAATATCATTGTAACCTTTCCACGCGGAGAACGTTTAATAAGCGACCGCTGAAATCGACAGAGCCCGGAAGCGATTTCGTTACGGTTTCCCGTCTAAAATCGTCGCGCCATCGGGCCCACGTCATCGTTTCTCTCTCGAGCTCTTTCTTTCCCACTCCCGCGTCAAACGAGAATAAACGTAACGCTGTACAACGTGACGTTAATTCGTTCCCGTTGCAAGACGTATGATCCCCCGATAATGGTACGTTTGCGCTTCCCTGGTATTCCGCGCCGCGGCTATCCGTGACCTAAATCGAATCGCGCACCGCCGCGACGCTCTCGAATCATCGATATATCGAGTTTCTAGTGTGTCGGTGTGGGTCGCTGTTAATTGCACTTGAGACGGTTGCCTGCTGGGGGAAACGATAGATAATAGCCGGACTATACCGTTGCGTTTGTCACTCGAGAGTGCTGTGTACATCCAGAGGAGTGTCGTTTCGCGCGAGAACGATCGCTGTCGCTGACATTACCCATCGGAAACATCGCGTGTGCCATTTTCCACGTTGAAAATTCCTGGGGAAGAATCGAAATTATCCGAGAAAAATTGTTCCTCGCTGATCACTGCTCCATTTCTTCGATTGAAATCGATATTCGAACGGGACCAATGAGGATCGATGGGTCGTAAGAGAACTGCGAAGACGAACGAATGAAGCTAGATGTGGACGGTCTTGCTGGAACTCGATCGGAATTACGTTAATTACTTCACCGAACGTCTTCGAATGGCTACTCGCGAAGGGCGAGGTCCTTCTATAATGGCCCCGTTTCACCGTAGCATCCGTTCATTGTTACCGTGGGGGCCGATGGATGCGCTATTGCATTCTTATCTCCGACCTAAATTGCGTCCACCGGATACGAGGGACCTGGTCAGCGACATTGACTGACGTCCAAACGCGGATACACCCTCCGATAATTATGCCAGTGGCACGATAGACGTCGATTAGAATCTGGCTTGGACGGGCGCGATCCGATGTCCACGGATTCCCCCGACGATTCGTAATTCAGCCCGACCGATTGCGACTAGTTGCTGCCAGCCCCTCGATATTTCGCGCGATCGGGGGGAAAATTCTGACAAATCCGAGGGATCGATTAAAATACAACGAAATCGCGTGGAAACGTTCGATAATTCGTCCGTCGAAGCGAATCCATCGGTTTTCGAAGGGAATAGCGAGGGTGGGAGGGGCTTCTCGTCGAGCGAAGGAATCGATCGATCCGCGAGAGGGGTGTGAGAAGACCGTTGAAACTAATAGATAGGTAATTAGCGGATAATGATGTAGCTTCCGGAGGGTTGAAAAAAATGCTCGATCATCGCGGCAGATCCGCTAATGATCGATCGGAGCTTTGTTCTTCGGGGTCCGCGGTCAAAAGGAACTTATTACGCTTATTAAGCCGACTTCCTGGCTGGAGAGAGGACGGACGGGGTTACGATGACGTTGACGGTGGGGCGTTGTCGCGGTCGTCGTCGTTTGTCGCTCGTCCTGCGTCCTTCCCGCGGGTCGTTCCGCGGTTGCCGTTGGTCGCAAAAAACCGGGGCCGTCTCTCGGCTAATTAGATGAATAAGATAATTCCATTTTCCTTTTTTCTTTTTCAAACGACGGAACACAAAAGCCAACCAACGTTTTCTCTGCTTTTCTTTTCCAGGTGCGGAAGATGTGTTCAGGTTTACGGGGAACGAGACGCACACAGACTACTTTCGGCTGGTGCTTCGGGACGCGAACTATCTTCTGGTCGGCGGAAGGTAAATAGAGGATTCATTTGAAGCGAGTGCTTTAATTAAAGGACCGGTTCTTCTTCTCGTTCGTTGCCACTGGTTGGTTCGAGGGGGCCCCCTCGCCTGATCGACGCTGCGCTTCGGTAGTAGCGGCTTGCACGCGCCGGGGCCCTCTCTGTCAGTGTGTATACGTGTGTGTACGGGGCGTACTTTCCTCCGGGAAAGCTCGTTTCCAACGGACTTTCTATCCGCCTTCGTCTTTTTCCGGCTCCTTCTCTCTCTGCTCCTCCAACGTGGCGCCGCTGAATTCCGTGGGCGGCCACGGGAACGCTGTTCTTCCCTGTTAATGAGATCGTCGAACTTTATTTAGAAACTTCTTTGTACTCTTTATTTTACGAGCCTTCGAACCCGAGGCACCGAGCAACCCGATTTTCTGCCGGCGGATCTTTGAAAAAAAAAAAAAAAAAAAAGAAAAAGAAACTTCCTCCACCCACGGAATAAGGAAGACGTTACTCGTAATTAAAACGCGAGATACGGATGCGGAGAATGGTACACGGATATCCGAGGAGAAGGAACGCGTTTCCTTCGCGTAGCATTTAGGTCGAAGGCGTAATTCATCTCGTCCGTGCTTCCTGTTTTTTTTCTTTCTTTTTTTTTTTATCTTTCGACGCGAAATCTCCGCTTTCCCGAGAGTTCGATCGAAACTCGTTTGCAGAGCGAGGTCGCTGGAATCGAATCGAATCGATTTAGCTTGGTGCTCAAACGGAGGAAGGGGGAGCGAATTCGGTCGTGCAGGGGGTCGCGTGAATTGGCGCAAACCGGTCGGAGTAGCGTGGCGACGAACGTCGGGCTTGTCGTGGCTCGAGTTACGCTAATTGTTCCATCGATTTGCCGGGTCGCCGGGTTCGGTTTTTGCTCGATGCTCGACGTTGGTCCCGACCCGGCGGCCGAGATTGTTCGGAGCCCGGCGAAATGGCACCGTCGCTTCGGGGAACGTTAAATCGTCGTCGAAGTCGCGCACGGTTGAAAATGCTCGCGGGGCAACACGGGAAATGGGCAACGGGAGATTCGACCCAGGAATATTAATCTCGAGTCGCGGGGCCATAAATCCTCTTCCGTTTGTAATAAACGGATCCGGGGCGCAGCTCGAATCCTCCGCGGTTCCCACCGTTCGGATCTTTCGATCGACCCTTTTCATCGTCGATTCGACGCGATGGGACTGCGGGGGTGGGCTGCGTTTTCCCGGGATATCGAAGGATCCGCGTCGGATAAGCGAGAAAAGTAAAAGAACGGAAAAGACTTTCGTTGGTGGGGTGATTAATGCGCGTCCAGGAATATTCTTTTGTCGGGCAAAAATTATGGAGTTCGTTGCCGAACGGACGCGTCGCCTTTACTCCGAAAGAGAATATGTATACATATTTATATCGACGAACGAGGCTTTTCCTGTTCGCCGAGTCTTTCGACAAAGTAGCCGAGTGAAAATCCTCCGGCGAAAATTCCGTTCGCCAAGAGACAAAGCGACCGTCGCGCGATTATCGAACCCGCCGTGCCTCGGTTCCAGGATCCTCCTTGCTCCTCCATTTGACAAACCGCGCTCCAGCTACTCAGCTAACATTGAAAAGACCGTCCACGCACAAAGGAGAACCGTCCCGACCCTCGAAACGTTCAATCTCCAGGCAAACCTCTTCTCTTCCCGTTTCAGAAATCTCGTGCACAATCTGAGCCTGACCGATCTGACCGAGCAGCAAAGGCTGACTTGGTACTCGACCGACAGTGACGTGAAGATGTGCCTGGTTAAAGGCACGCCCGAGGAGAACTGCCAGAATTATATTCGTATCCTGGTGAAAACGGAGGCGAACACGTTGCTGGTGTGCGCGACGAACGCGTTCAAGCCGATGTGTCGGGATTACGGGGTTCACGTGGGCAATTACACGATCCTGAAGGAAAAGGGGGGCCAGGCGATGTGCCCGTACGATCCCCGGCATAACAGCACCTTCGTCTACGTGGACGGGGAACTTTACACCGGCACGGTCGCCGATTTCGCGGGAATGGACCCCATCATTTACAGGGAGCCGTTGCAGACCGAGCAGTACGACTCGAAGAGCCTGAACGGTGAGTAATTACGTACGAGACTCGTTTCGTTCGCGTAGCAACGTCGCGACCTATGAAGACCGTAAGAAAACGAAGGGAACGTTTGAACGAAAAAACGCGAACGAGTCGCCGAGTAAATTCGATGACTCTGTCGGAGTCGTAATCGTGAACCGACGGAACGACGTGTGTTCCCGTCGAAACGTATTTGACATAAAAGAACGAAGTTTCGAGACCGTTGTCCGAGGGACCGTTGTCAATGTGAAACGTGTATAGGTAAGGGGTGGTGGGGGATGATGAATCGACGGCGGAAACGTCAATGTTAAGGCGCGATTAAAAATTGAAATAAGGGTAACACGGGCTCGATGGGCACGGAGAGTAAACAGCTGGAGTGTTTTTGATAGCGGGAAAGAGGTCGGTGGAGCACGCTCGTTCGAAGCAATTTATCGTTCGGGTATACTAAACTTCTTCCGTGGTCGTCGTATAACGGTCCGAAAACTTTCCACTCTCCGTGGAAAACGCGAACGACCAACGGTCTTAAATTAAGGGACAAATTCCTCGAGGAACGGTTACGCGAAATCGTTCCACAGCAGCCAACGAGACAGTCGATTCGAGACTAGATCGAGCCAAGTGTTCTTGTTTGGTCTCGCGATCATCCACGAACCACGGACGATGCGATTTATCGTACTTGTAGTTGTACCAGTTGCAGAGACAGATTTTTAGCATGCCGTACTGCGCACAACAGCGCCACGAACTTTGCAACTGTCTTTCGAACGGTCTAAACAACTTAATGTTGCTCAAGTTAGTGTACGATAAATCGTGCCTACTGTGGCTCGCATTGAAAATCGTCCACGACCTTTCTTTCTTTAATTTTCTTTAGAAAATGTAATATATAAACGTCGATTTCTAGTAGATTAAAAGCTGTAGAAAATAGTAGAGGCCATCCAACAAAATATCAGATTTACACAGTTTTTAATGTTTAAGTTTTATAAATAAGAACAGGTGGACGACTTTTAGTGTGACCATTTTTACTGTATATACTACGTACCACTATAACATCGTTCCTTGGTCCTTATTCCATAAATCCTTCTATTTTCTAGTAATCTTTTATAACAATAAGTAAAGTATTTAGTGGATTTTGCAATGACGAATAAGAACCAAGGGTAGCGGACAATTTTCTTTGCGAGCCAGTGTACATACCACTATTATCCGTGGTCCGTTTTACGCATCGTTTGCGCAAACTATTTGTATCGTAATGGTCCGAGTCCGTAGCGGGCCAATGATTTCGACAGACGTTCGCGATGTCCGCCCCGTCGTTCGCGAAAGTTCGACCGCCTCCTAGGCCGTTCGATTCGCCGTTTACACGAAGTTCCAGAGCAATCGCGGAAGAGGAGGCGGAGGAGGCCAGCTCTCTCGACTTTGAAAATCCTGGCTCGGAGCCACCGGTTCGAGAAATTACTCGGAAACGTCGCGCAGCGATCGGCCACGGTGGTAACGACCGTGCGAGCCGTGCCGGCTTTAATCCACACGGGCGTAATTCCGGGATTAACTGGCGTGCGTGTGCGTGGATCTAGCAGAATTCGCGCTCACGGAGATTATTCCGCGTTGCCCTTCCATATCTGTGTAATAACGACAAAGCAACGCTCGCTACTCGACGAAATACGTCCCCGTTCTGTCGTCGATCGGAGATTTTAATCCGGATCAAAGAACACGCGCCACCCGATCCTTTCTCTCTCTCTCTCTCTATTCACCTGTGCTCTAAAAGACTTTCTGTTCGAACAACTCCTGTTCGCGGATTGTTATTATTAACCGTTTTATCGGACGATTCCACCGTATATTCCGGTGGTCCCATCGATGCTCCGTACGGAGGACAGCATAGAGATACGATTCTCTCGCGATCAACCCGAAAAAAAAATGGTAACGTCGGCCAAGGAACGAGACGGCGGTCTGAGTTACGGTTCCCCAGCGAATTTGCCGAAAGGTCGAATTTCATTCGGGATCGAGACCCCGCCGGGAAAGAATTATAGGCCGGATAGCGAGGGATGACAGAGACCCGCGACACGTACGAATAGTAATTTTTAAGAAAGTTCGCCTCGACGTTTCGGAATCGATTGGCGTTACGTTCCACGGAAACTGGAAACGTCTCCTCCACGGTCGTTGGGGACCTAGAGGGGCGATAAAATTGATACGTCACCTTGTTCCAGGGGTTGACTCGTCCACCGGAGTATTTTAATTGAACGGTGTACGAGCGCTAATCAAGTTTCCCCCACCCGCTGGATAATATTGATTTTCCCTCCGTTCGTTGAAAATTCAATTTTCCCTCACTCTCTCTCCCCCTCTTCCTTTCCATTTCCTTCCTCGTTCCTACTCTATATGTATATGGTATCCTTCGTTCAGAAAGTTTTCGATAATCTTCGGCGTGCTCAACTTTCGTTTCTGGTTCGGAATAATTTCGAGATCGTTGCGGTTTCTAGACAGCTTATTATTTCGAGGACGCGCTACGTCTCGATCTACGCGATCTTATCCCTGTCGCATCCATCGGACTCGATCGATGGGGCACCTCGTCGATTTCATCCGAGGGCATAACTCGTCCGTGAGATAACGTTGAACATTTCTCTAATCGTGGAAAGAACCTGTGCCTGAAAATAAAAAGAACCGAAAGAAGGGCCATGGCTCTCGATCTCCTCCATCGGTTCTTCTGGCTCGTTCGACTGGTCCACCACAAAGAATTCCGCCGGCACTTTGTCTGGATGGGGGCGCAAGTTAAATGCGCCGCGAAAGAAAGACAGCTGGACGACGAGGTGGAACGGCGGGATGGATCGTGGCCGAGGAGGCCGCGGGAACGAGACGAGGAGCGCGGAGAGGGAGAGGAAAACGACAGTATAAATTTATGGGGCTTGGAGCACGGTCGGCTCGGTCGGATATACCTACGCGCCCGACCGAGATTAATATTACTTTATGAATCCTAAGAAGCTTATGAAAACCCTGTCAAGTTAATAAATCGATAAAGTTTTCCCACTTTATCGGGTGGTTGTGCGCGACAAGTGGGAGCGACGCGACCGAGAGGGAGAACGAATACGCCGGCAACGTGGGGAGAAGAGGGCGGAACAATTGAGAGAGGAAAGAAGAGACAGGCCGAAGAGAGAACCGTCGAGCCGTGTCGTTTCACCCCCGCGACGCCGTTCAAATAACCGAGAAAATAAAAGGGTTCTTATGTGTTAACGTTACGTGCAGTCGGCCGCGTCGAGAAGCTGTCGCGCGGAATATTTTCAAAAGTTCGCCATACTTATCGATCGATCGAAAAAGATATGCGTTTATCGTTGGTAGTTCTAGTGTTAAGAACGACTTTCGAGTGAGTACTTCGGGTTCGTCGAATCGCGTGGACGTCGCGTTTTTCGCGAACCAGCATATTTCCAGCTAGACGAACCGAGGGTCTTACTTTCGAGCCAGCAACGGGGCCGTTATCTGCGTGGGTTTATTACGCCGCATCCATTGTTCCGGCGCGGGCTAGTTATCACGTTCGTTTATTTATAAGGGAACTTTATGGCCGCCATTTACCGCGGCATCCTACACGTAATAACAATAATGGGCTTGTAACGCATGTGCATTCTAATTGCAGCGCCGAACTTCGTGAGCTCGATGTCCCAGGGAGACTTCGTCTACTTCTTCTTCCGGGAAACCGCTGTAGAATATATCAATTGCGGCAAGGTAAGTAGTTTGCGCCCCGGCTTAATTGCGCAATTAGTTTCGCGAGCCCTGGATCCATTTCGGGGAACGACCGGAAAATCGACGACGATTAAACTGTTCCCGCGGAACTCCAACGAATAGAAATTCCGGGGAGGGGATGGTTGTTCCTCGTCGATTTGGCCTACTAACGACGGCGTCACGCCATCTTTCTTCACCTTACCACGTATGCAACGAACGATCGTTTTTCGTTGCGCCTCTCAAACGTCGCTCTTCGGATCTGCTTAATTTTTGGACGCGATATTGCGTGTCATTTCGTATACGAAGACTGTCAGAAGCAATGAGCTGAAAACGAGAAGATCGGAATATTTTCACCCTTAATTTTCTTTTTCTCCATTACAGACCGTCTATTCTCGCGTGGCGAGAGTCTGTAAATACGACCGAGGTGGTCCGCATCGTTATCGCAATAGGTGGACCTCGTTCCTAAAGTCCCGACTCAATTGTTCCGTCACTGGAGACTTCCCTTTTTACTTCAATGAAATACGTAAGTACAATACGTTCGTCTGGACCGTCGAGGACGCTGTCAGATTACGCGACCGATCTCCGTTACCCCCCGGGTTCGTTCAGCGGGAAATCGGTTTCCCCCGTTTCGAATCGATAGAAAGAGGAGATCGAACGCGGCTGTGACGGTGTCGTCGATTTTCAAAAAAAAAAAAAAAAAAAAAGAAAAAAAAACCGGCGTTTGCCCGTTCGAGGGACGTGGGAAGAGCAGCCGTTGGAAATAAATTTCCTCGGCTCGCTCGTAAACGTCTACGGGTGCGAGCGAAACCCGGTCGCGCAAACAAAGAGCCTCGAAATTACACCCGAGCGTTATTTGCAGAATCAACGACGGAACTGATATCGGGCCAGTACGGCAATAAGTCGGCGCAACTGATATACGGCACGTTCACCACCCCGGTGAACAGCATCAGCGGTTCGGCCGTTTGCGCGTTCTCCTTGCAGGACATCACGGGCACGTTCAAAGGGAACTTCAAGGAGCAGAGCGCGATCAATTCGAATTGGCTGCCGGTGCAGAACACCAAGGTGCCCGACCCGCGACCCGGACAGTGCGTCAACGATTCACGCTCGTTGCCCGACTTGACGCTCAATTTCATTCACACGCACTCCCTGATGGACGATCTGGTTCCGAGCTTCTTCGGCCAACCGATCGTTATACGCACCAGTTTCCAGTAAGATTCCTTGTATCCCTAACGATTATCTTTTAGGATTTATCGAAACGTTCTAACGTGGAAATATTCTTGTGAAACGACAGTTACAGATTCACGCAGATCGCCGTGGATCCTCAAGTGAAGACCCCAGGCGGTAAGACGTACGACGTGTTGTTCATCGGCACGGACAACGGGAAGGTGATCAAAGCGGTGAACGCGGACTCGGCGGACACTTATCTGAAGGTCAGCCCGGTGGTGATCGAGGAGATCCAAGCGTTCCCGTCGTCGGTGCCGGTCCGGGGGATTAAAGTGGTCCGAGCGTCTCAGGCTGGCGACGGCCTCGAGGACGGCAGACTGGTCGTGATAGCGGACAGCCAGGTACAGGCCCTCAGGCTTCATCGGTGCTACAGCGATCGGATCTTGTCGTGCGGGGAATGCGTGGCTCTGCAGGATCCCTATTGCGCCTGGGACAAGATGGAGGGCAAGTGCAGAGCGTTGGTGGGTCCTGCGTCCACCGACGCCAGCAGGTTTCTGCAGAGCGTCGCAACAGGCTTGCATTCCTCCTGTCCGCCGAGCAAAAGCCTGAACAAGGACGCAGGCAGCGTCGGCGCCATTTCCGCGAATCAGAACAAGTTCCCCCAGGACTCGATGATCCCTAGTAAAGAGGGCCAGGGAGGGGAGATCATCAACATCATGCAAGACGAGGAGCAGGATAGTTCAGGTAGTTGAGAGGAACGATACGATTCTCGGTGATTGCTACTTCCGACGTAAATAGCTCCCATACTTTTTGGTTCGATTCAGGCCCCGAGGTGTCAGCGGCAGACTCGCCACCGCCGCAGTACTCCGTGGAAACGTTGGTGATGGCCGTGGTGGCTGGTGCGTTGGCGGCTTTGTTCGTCGGTTTCGTGGCCGGTTACCTGTGCGGCAGGAAATGCAGAAAGGACGAGGACGACAATCTACCGTACCCGGACACGGAATACGAGTACTTCGAGCAACGCCAAAACGTTAACAGGTGAGGGCGAGAAACAGTAATTGTTTTGGCCTCCGTCGGAGTTACGAATAATCCGACGCTTCGTTTTTTGATGTTGCAGCAGGCTAGCGCCCGAGCCAAAGTTACTGCCACAGGAGGAAGTGACGTACGCGGAACCGGTCCTGGTCCCGCAACCGCCAAAGCTACACTCGCCAAAGGGCACGATGCGAAAGCCACCCGCGACACCGACGGAAACGTTGTTCCAGTTTCCGGACGGTTACGGTTTCCGCGGACCGAGGGACAATTTCGGCACCCTGCGGTCCCACCAAGGGGACGCGTATCGTCGCAACGACGGGTTCGCGACCACCCGCAGCGTGAAGAAGGTTTATCTCTGAGAAACGAGCGAGGAGGGAGGCGGCCGTCACCGGAGCCTAGGACGGCCAGCGCGCAATCGTCGTAACGCGATTGTGACGTCCGGGGGACAATCGAACCGCGAGCTAGCCGGCCCGAGGACGCTAGAGTCGCCCTCGCCGCCGTCGAGCGTCTCGTCCAGTTCCCCGTCGCCTCCCTCCTCGTCGCCCTCGCCCACCCTCGTACCGATCGCGATGACCGGCGGCTCGCCGCCACCGCCGACGCCGCCCTGCAGTTTCATCTACCGGTCATAGTCGTCGTCGTCGTCGGCGTCGGCGACGGCGGTGGCGGGAGCGTCGACGTCTTCGTCACCGCCGCCGTCGTACACCGCTTCTTGTTACGCGACGCCAGCTGCCGGGACACCGTTCTATGGGTCCGCTGGCCGTTCCGCCGATTCTGTATAGCACAGCGTATTCGAGGTCAGCCAAGGAAAACATGGGCACGTGCATCTCTAGCGGCCGCATCGCTGCCGCCACCGCCACCGCCGCCGACTTTCCCTGTTTTTGTCCGCGGTTTCGTTGCGTGTGCTAGTTTGCGGTTCATCGTCGCTTGGTCCTCGATTGCGTTTCAGACCGCGTCGCGTCGGAATCGCCGCTGACGCGTGCATACGTAAACGATACACGGTAAATATGCGTGTCGATCGAGTCTAGAGATAGCCGAGACGGCACCTAGGGGAGAGTCGCGGCCGAGATAAGAAAACCGAGACGATTGCTCTCCTCCCGCACGGATATTTCACGCGTCGATCGTTCGATCGACGTGTTTCACGGTCTACGACGAGGATTCTTCGTGTTCCCTGTTCGGAGGAGAGTACGGTAGTCTCGAGTCGGTGAACGAAGCGAATGAAAAACGAGCGTTTACTCGGCGTTGATCATCCAGCCGTAACAACACGAGCCGCGTCGCAACGTCGCGATCTCCGCCGTTTTATCCGATCGGACCTAACCCCGATTTTAACGCGCGTGTGGTATTACGACAAGGTTTCTTCTCGTGTGAAGTCAATTAAAAGAGACTATCGTCGGGACTCGCGTTGCGATTTTTCTAATGTTGTAATATTTAAAACTAGCGAGTGATCGACAGTGCCATTATTGTACGCGTAATACTGCCGCGTGCCACGATATTTCGGGACATCCACGCGTTGAATCGCGGCGTTGTTTTCTCACGACCCGGTTCGGTCGCTCTCACGAGATGGAAAAGATAGCACATGAGAGGAATGGAAAAAGGAACGTTCAATCGCGGCATCGTGCCATAAACACACTAGCTCGTAATTCCCGTAAAATCGCGGAGATCGTCGCATTGCCTTTGTACGATGGGGTTGGTTAAATCATTGCGGACTCTTTGGACCGCCGCGACGAGCCGTTGCGAAATTTCCCGCGACCGATTCCTAATTTTCTCATACGTTTCGGAAACACGCGTTTCACCAGCTGCACAATATACGTAAGTAGAGAGCAAAGAAAACAACAGGAGAGCGACAGAGAGAGAGATAGGTGTTTCAAAGATAGAGAAAATGGTTACAAACGAAGCGAAAGAGAGAGAAAATGTTTTGGAGGAGGAACGGGAGTGGTACAGGGCTTGTATGTAAATAATACGTATATACAAAGAAACGACAAATAGCATATACAACGGTTTAAGAGTTCTTACGAGCGGCAGGGGGGAGAAAGAGAGACGAGAGAATCAGTCCACCTAGAAATCTGGGCCCGATGGTACACGTAGACATCTATCTTAAAGTGCTTCTTATTTCAGTGTGTTTAGAGGTAACGCGTATGTGATATATTCTATATGACGAGATGTTTTCTAGGCGTTGACAGAGAGGGAGAGCGAGAGAACGATAGAGTGACAGGGTGTGTGTGTGTGTGTGTGTGTGTGAGTGAGTGAGAGGGAGAGAGAGAAAGGAAAGAAACAGGAAAGTAGGCTGGTGCGATTCAAACGACTCTCTTCGATAGACTTCAGACGATAGACCGCGGATGGAAACGCAGCGGTGAACTCGACGGTCCTTTGTTCACAAGAATCTCGATCGCATCACTTTCGAGGGCTATACCCGTGTCGGGATCTCGTTCAAGTTGAATCGAGTACGCGTTTCGCTTCGCGTTATCTGTTCTTTCCTCTTAACGCAAGTGTATTCTCGTTTCCTATCGGCGAGAGAAATTCGCGAAATTCTGTGAACAATCGAGCGAGGGTAACACGCCGTTTTATCGTTTTTCTTCTTTTTGTTTTCATTCTCGTTCGACACGCACACGACATAACACCGAATACACACGAGAACCGACTCGTCCGTTTCTCGCCGCGGCATTTCTTCTTCTTTTTTTTTTTTAAGAACATGATCGCGTACCGATCGTTAGGCGGACGGATCGATCGATCGATCCAGTTTTAATTGCGAAACGAAGGCCCGCTCCCCGCCTCTGCATTCACCCCCTAAACGGAAAGACTGAAACGACTGTTCTCGAGCGGGGCGGGCCTCTGAATCCGTTCATCGTTCTTAGAGTACCGTTAGATCGGCATCGACGAACACGGTTTCCTTTATCGACAGTACAAATGTTCATCGCGTTTTACATACCGGTAAGTTTTTCGCTCGTTTCCGCGAGCCGTCGACGCGTCTGTGTCCCGTGACTGTTCCCGGCACGCAACCGATCGTACATCGTAATCCATAAGAGAATTCAGCTCGAAGGCCTCCACTGTGTTCCTGTTCGCGACAAAAGACTGGCGTTTACCTAGTGACGATCGCGTTAACGTTTATGAAAAAAAAAAAAAAAAAAAATGGAGAAGTTCCGGTTTAGCGTGCAGGGAAGATGACGGGCCACGAGGAGTTCCGCATCTCGCGCAGTAAACCGACACGCGTCGACTTGATAAAGGGGACACGATTTTGTCCGCGTAAACGCATGCCAAACGAGTTCGTAGGTACATGCATACACATTTACACAAACGCATACACGTACACAGAGGCGCGGAAATCCGCGTGTTTCAAAGCTGCCATGTATAATCGACATACCCGACACTTCTCGTCGTTGCAAAATATCTAATTGTACGGTGTGAGTAGCGTATTTTTAACGGCTTTGCTTTTCCGCGTCGTTCGAAGTGGAGGAACCGCGCGCGGTTTTCATAAGTTTGATACGACAAACGAGTTCGCGTTTTTATCCGGTTAAGATTCACCTAAAATCGCCGTTCTAGCGATGATTTACGCGAATGAAAGACTCAGGCACGATACCAAAGATATTAAAACACGTAAACTAGACACACCGTTGGTCGTTCGCGTTGATGTGGTTGAACGTTCAGAGGCGCACAAAAACGGTAGGAATGTATACATAGTGTATAGTGGCCTCCTCGCACAAAAGGCAAAAAGCAAAAAAAAAAACGAAATCGTATCTCGGTTCACGTTCTCGAGAACGGACACGCGCGAAACCGGTCCGTATCGACGATCCCCACCCTCCGTTCGACACCCCTTCTGTTGCCCTCCTTTCCCGCGTAAACAGCGCGTTTAGATGTTTGCTATTTTTATATTTACCCATGCTCGACGACGCAACAATCGTTTCCCCTTCCTTGACTCTGTTGGCGGGATTATGTGTTCATCGCGGGACTGAAAAGAAATTCGAAACGTTGCGAGAAAGCACGTTACGCGCGCGCGGCGTTTGCTCGACCCTCTGCCAAATCATTTTGTAATTTCGCGTGTACTTCGGAGAGGAGGGTAAACGACCGGCTATCGATCGGCAAGGGAGGGGGGGGGGGGAGCGGCAACGATCATCGTGCGGCTGTCGAGGAACACACCGAAACAGGGATGCGCAGGTGAGAATTGAGGAACGATATCGAATCGCAGCCGACGTTGGAATCAAGTAATGCATGAAAAGCTGCGAGCTGGGGGAAGCGTGTGCGATCAGAGAGATATTTTTTCGAAGACAAGGATATTCTGGTAGCAGCGTGTCGAGACGATAAAAGAGATTAAAGGGTCGGACGAAATCGAGAACGCACGCCCGCGCAACGGGGAGGGAGAGAGAGAGAGAGAGAGAGAGAGAGAAAGAGAGTGGTGTTGAAGGAAGCGGCGAGGAAAGGAATCGGAAATACTAATAATCTTTAACGATAGTATAATCGAGAGTTGACGCTTTTGATAAGGATTAAACGAGTAACAGTTAAAGGGACGTAAGTGAGAGAAATCGACGATGATTCGTGTTAAGAAAAACAAAAAAAAAAAAAAAGAAAACGTGTTCAAAGGAGATTCGCGCGAGTTCGTGTTGTTTAAGCCAATAAGGAACGGATTCCATCCAAGATACAAAAGAAAATAAAAGCGAAGAAAAAATTGTTTTCACCTAGACGTTTGATCGAGCGAACGGAATTTTATTTCGGCGATATGTTCGGTGGAATTTCTCCGTTCGAATAATCGGTGTGATTCGACAACGAACGAAAATACGGAGGAGGGTGGTACCGAGGCAAAATTGAAGAGAAACGGGGAAAAACGTGGGAGACGAAATATTGGGGAGAAACAAATTTGCGTTGTCGATGCGTCACGGGCGACGGGGCGCGACGATTTCATGCATTATTTCATTTCAATCGCTTGGTAGGCTCGGGTTTCGTTTGTCTGTACATTTCTAACGGGAAAGCTAGGGAACGATAGAAACGAGGTAAGAGAGAAAGAGAACGAGAGAATGAAACGTGTGCTTGAGAGGGAAAGAAAGTTTAGCCAGTTATTACGATTATAAAATTGAGAAAGAAAAATATTAGGTAGACATATCCGGGACCTTCCTGTTTCAAAGGTTTTGGCCCCGGTTTAGAGATCGCAGCATGTATGATGAAAAGAGTTTCGACGATGAAAGCTTAGACATAAGTAGAGGATTAGCAAACGGTATATATATATATATAGAACGCTTGAAACGTATATTAATATTATAACTTTTTATAAATATATTTTTCCGTCGAAGTCTAGCCTAGTTGGATACATACACGGTTATTAACGACTATTAATTTATCCGATCTGATTATTAATATCGACGATCTAGCGTTAATTCGAACATTTTAGACGTCATAGTTTTACAATGATAGGCGGAAATTGTACGAAGTTGTGAATCACTCGAAATGAGATCCGCGAAACGAGGGAGGTGCGCCCGCGGAAGGCGAAAAAGAGCAGAAGAGACACATTAGTACCTAAAGTTATGAGATTTAACTACTAGCGGTTGAGCGTATTCGACGAAAGGGTCTCTCGGGCGGTTCGCGCGATCCATCGTTTCGAATCGCGTCAAGATCTT